AATCTCCAGTGTGGGAAAAAGAAGTAATGCTCAACCACATAAAAACTGTAAAGAATATAAGCATACGAGAAGCGTTAAAAATATATTATGCCAACAACAATAATTTTACGCAGTAATAGAACAATAATAGAAAGACCAAATATTTACAGAATCTTCACGAAAACAAAATACAGCGAAATTTCTGACAAATTTATGTACCATAATCTAAGTACTTCTAAACAAAACGATACCGAATGGTCAATTCACACACCCCGCACTCCACCGGCTTTCTAAAAGCCGGAATATCATATTTGACCGAAAAATTATGAAAGAACAAATTATCAGCATTAACAAAAACATTAACATAGAAAACGAAGATTCTTCAATTTAACTGCCAGTCATTAAAAGCTAACATAAACAGAATAGAATATTATGTTAACAGCAGCAACGTTGACAATACCAGCTTAAACGAAACCTTTTTACAAAAAAGGCAGAAAAAATAGATATATAGCAAATTTCAACAAGATAGATCAATCGAGAAGTGACGGATGACGTTAAAAATGGAAATAAAGTTTTCTCGAGTATGAAACAACGGGGCCAAACCAAAAATCTTCTTTCAAATCCTAAGATAACTAAAGCATATGTTCCACCAAATATACACATTAATCCTTTAACTGAAGAAATAGCTAAACCTATAAATTTTCTTGAAAGCTATTAATATGTTCTCCGTTGTTGCAGCTTTACGAATTTTATTCAATCTTCATTCCTATTGGTATTGTAAAAAACTGATGAAAAACCTTGAGACCAAATATTAAGTTTTTTATTATAATATTAAGCTCACTCATTTATATGTGTGGGTCAGTTTTTTGCTCTTCAAAGCCTTTCACAAAAAGTCAATATCGGAAATAATACTAACTTCAGTCACCATGTCTAATATGTATTTTTCGGTGATCTTTTTCCGTTATATAAAGTGTTATATACATTTCCAGCAAATCGAACTTGGTTCCAGTTCTCTGGTTCATTTCCAGGAAAAAAAAGTTTACAAGTTATATTAAATTCTGTTACAAAAAAAGATCTCTACCAACTTTCAAGTTATGTTCCGTAGTTCAAGTAAATAGAACCATAAATAAAATTTTTTCGAATAAGTTGGGTTGTGGTCTAGATCCCGAAGAGAAGGGTAGTAGTAAATCGAACCATAAAAAGTATTTTTGCGAATAATTAGCGCCCTGTGGTGTGTGTGACTTCTCTTTTCATGGGTCTTTTCCAAGATTTGGTGCGTGGTGCATATCTGCTCAATGGTTGATTTACCAGGTTTAAAGCCACCGATAAACAATTTGTTGCCCGGTAGGCTTTAGTCTTTCACACAATACGCTGGATAGGACCTCATTATCACGGCGCAGACTATGGAATCACTCTCTTTATGGATTAGGCAAAGTACACTTGGGTTCTAATCGTCGGATATGCTTTCATCTGATCGAAGAATCTGGAGTATGCAACTTTTCAGCTCTTTGCCGCCATAATTGAATATCCTTGCCTATAGGTCGTCAGCTTCAGCCGCTTTTTTTGTTTTTTAAACAAGTAGTCGCTATTCAAATCTCGTCATAGTTTAGAAATGGAACATCTTTACCAGCATCATCGATTTGAGTTTCAGTTTCACCATCTTCTGGCGTTCCGTCGTCTTTTCCATTTAGCAGGTCCAAACGTTCCCTCTTAAAATTAATTTCGCTCTTGGTATCAATCATTAAATCACCCCTTTTTCACACTTCGGTCTCTTTCTATTTTTTCTGCACATGCATCAAGTTTCCCTGTTCAGCTCTTGGTATCTATCCCACACCGCACGTATTGTGGTCGATCGGAAGGTTGCGTGGTAGGAAATCTGTTTTCTCTTTACCACAATCGGGGCATTCCTCTTCGTATCAGTTGTTTGTCTGGCGGTACATAGGGAGTTTAAGATGCCGTTTCAGACTCCGGTTGATAGCCAAAACTTCAGTTGCAAAGCAACCGTAAAAGGTCAGGCATTCATAAATGCAACTGTGCCAACTTTGTTCCAAAATGCATCGGTTAAGTTATTGATACACAAACAAAAGCGAATTGCGCATCGCTAAGGTTTGTGATGCTTTATTTTATCATAAAGTCTTAGCAATCACGGCCGACGTCGGAAGGCAAGTTTTTTTCGCAATTATTTTCTATTCTGTTTTATATTTTAGCCATTTCCCGAAAAGCCTTCCAAAATTTCAGATTTTGCAAAGTATTGTAGAAAGGCAGATTTATAGAATGCAGGATTGCATTGTTATGATGCGGTTGCGATGCCGTGTGTTCTTTGCTGTTCAAAGCCGAGAGCTTCGTAGTGATATATAGACCATTTGGTACGTGCAGCCCAGCATTGCAAGCAATTTTGTGAACTTCGCTTAATTGTGAAACGAGGTATATGAAAGTGAAAACCGGCTTTGATTGCAGGCTAAGAGAGAACCTGTCCACACTGGAATTCGTCGGCGATATTTTCGGGGAAAGGAAAATATACTACTCCAGCTGTAGCTGTAGACCTTATCTAATTCAATCCATTTGAAGAAGTTATATACTTTATAACACATATACAAACAAATAAATAAAACATTTTTAATAATCATAACTAATATTTGTTATAAATTGCTATTATTATTCTAACATCATTGATATTTTTGCTGTTTATTTTCACCCGCATTGGTGGGACAATTTTTCTGTTCAGACTTATCTTCTTCACGGGTAAAAATTTATTCTCTAGCTCTAGGACAGCTTTGCTTAATTCTAAATTGATGAGATTGAGATTGAAGAAATTCAAATCCACTGGCATGCAAGTATTACGGAATAATCATTTTTAATCTGCTTTTTTTTAATTTTTTGAACAGTTCGTCCGCAGCAGTGTTCAATTCTTATTCGATATTTACTAAAACTTCTGTAGAAATTGCTACTTTCATGCGCCTGGCCATCTGCTCAATTTTTATTTGCTGAAATTACACCCTCACTACAATAAACCGGTATTGGCACACAAATAAACTGGCTAATTTTCGAAATAGCTGATCCTCCTTCTCTGGATCCCAGTTTATTCTCTATGTGTTGGTCATCAAGATATGACGACTTAATGGACTTAAATGGTGTATTTATAAACAAACACTCATAACTCAGATTTTCTGATGCGACCAATACGAAAAAAAAACTTTTCCATAATAATTTCCTCACTCAAATCTTTAAGAAATGCACAAATAAATTTAACAGTACATACCGCGGGAAAACTTTGTTTGAGTCGGCATATTTATTGTTATTTTGTAGATTATTTGAAAACGCCCTCCGAACCAAGTGTTGTCAGTGTGTTTATAAGTAATATAAAGGTGATTTTTTAATAGCTACAGGAAAGTTAAAAAAACATATAAAATTTAGAAAAATGTTTGAAATCTTTATTTGATTCGATACTATTTAATATTTGAAGATTATTTCAAGAAAATGTTGCCCATCCGTTCAGTCCAAATTTGACATACTATTTCCAACATTTCGGCCGGTATCTTACGAATAAACTCTTCAATTCTGTCCTCCAATGCATCAATTTAACATAGCCACACAAAAAATAGTCTAAAGGCGTTAAATCGCACGATTTATTTGTTCCGCGTGCTGTGTAGCATATGAAACCACATGTCATGCATTCATTTTGGGCAAAAAAAAATTTTGATATCATCTCACAGTAGCGCTCACGATTCACAGTTACGTTACGATTCGCGTCAACTTTGAAGAAGTACGGTCCAATGATGCCACCATCCCATAAGCCGCACAAAACTTTATTTTTTTTTTTTTGATGCATTGGTAGCTCTTGTTTTGCTTCTAGCTGATCTTCACTCCAAAATCGAGAATACTGCTTATTTATGCCATACTCATTAAGCCAAAAATGAGCTTCGTCGCTGAAAACAATTTTTTTTTTAACTTTTTTAACAGAGCGCGCATTTTGATAATAAAATTCAACAATTTGCAAGCGTTGTTCGTTTGTAAGATGATTCATGACTGAACTATAGACCAAGCTGAAGATGTTTGACAGTGATACAAAACACAAAACATGCAACCCCTCACTGCCAATACCTGTAATGAGAAACTATCATCTACAAATTTTTTTACGCAGAACTTGAATTTAGATATTTAGATAAGATAATTAAGATAATTAACCCTTAAATGAACAATGCTATTTGTATACAACGAAATGAAATCTCGTTATTACAATCTATCATGGTATAATTTTAGAGTAACCGTCAACACAATCGCGTGACTAATGCTGCAATTGCCAATCTTATTGTACATATCTTCCATCCATAGCAACCGATCTTATGAGACACCATGTAAATACAAAATTGTCACCGCTTGCTTATGCCGTTACTGACGGTTGTCCCGCAGAAACCAGTGGCGATTTGATTTTTCCATAGTTCATTTCTCGTTGCTATACACGTTGCCAGTATTGACTTTCTTAAATTAATATTAAATAAACTAATAAAATGCGTAGTTTTTTTCAAAAGAAATGAAAACAAAATTCGTAATCAATTATTTATTACCATATAGATCATGTATATTTGATCGGCGCTTATATTCAAACATATAAATTATGATATTCATTGACATTGTATGCATATCACTCTTCCTGCGGGGTGTTATGGATAAAGGATAAGTAAAACTATCCCTTTAAGTTCGTTTGAATATTTTTTTTATTACCCTTGTATAAACAAGGGCAGCCGGATTCAGCGGAGGAGTTGTTATAACTGCTTTACACAAGAGCGACGCTAGCGTCTAAATATCTCTTCTGCTTGCCCTTACTTTGGTTGCTGCAATTTATTAGCCGTGTGAACCAATTTCGCTAATTGTATTGAATTTGGTTTGCTGTTGTCACGCGCAAGACTACGTCTTTCGGTGAGCAATATGGCCGGATGCGTTATTATTGGTTATTATTGCAGCCGTAAACTTTTCTATGTTGTAACGTGCAAAACTGTTGTTGTTACGCGTCGTCAGCAGATTCCGTTGAAGCGATATTTTGGTCGGATGATTGGATACCTGTGTTAACTATTCTCCTACTACTACCATATTTTTTCGTCGTCCCCACAGTAGTATTGTTATGTCCATAGTTATGGCTAATACGATTAGGAGCAAGGCGCTTCTCGATTGTATGGAAGATTCCGTAGGTGAGCTATGTCCTTTTTAGGTGTGGAAGTAACAATTGCTCAATATGTTCGGTTTGTATGGGTACCGCCTCGGGATGTGCACGCATTACTTCATTTTAGTTGCTATAAATAGTGGAGTTTATCGTAATATCACCTTTGAATGTTATCAAAAAGGTTTCTCTAGCCAATCTTGTCAAATTTTCGTTTTGTATTATAGCGCGCTGGTCATTAATTAGAATTACGCCGTCATAGATTTCCGAAATGGCGGGCTCCTGATCGGTGGATTTGGATTTTGGATTTGCAATTTGCATAGCGTTGGTTCAGTAGTTGTCGTACACAGGGGCTTTCTTTCGAAGGCTGGCACAAGTTTGGTATTATGGACTCCTTGCAATTAAAAAGTAGGTTGTATTTTCTGTTGCATTCAGCCATAAGACTCGTTTCTAAGGAGAAGATTATTTCCTGGATTGCGGGCAGCAACTTTACGTTATTTCGAATTACAGCTATTTTCGGGTATTTAATAATGAAATAAATAAACTGTGTATTTTGGAATATCTTAAATTTAGAAACAGAAAGTATGTCAGTTATACTAGTATCTGTAGAGAGCTCAGAAGCTAATACATTTCCATGTCATTAAGCAGAATGGGGTTATTAATATTTTCTTTTGCTAGAGCTACTGATGATTTTTAATTGCATTATTACCGCTCTATTTCTAGTGTTGACTAATGTCGATGCCCCGCTTGTGTCGGTGATGTATCCTGACCGCATCTTGCACTCTTGATATTTCGTCAGCGTCTTTCGGAGCAGTTACCTGGCATGAGAAAGTGAGAATTTCTCTAATATTGTGTCCGTCTCTTCGGCTATCACCTCGAATTTCGACAAGTTTGTCTTGTGGAGTAAAAATTTAAAATCCTCATGGGGGTATGGTATAGTTAAAACTCCTTGCGTTAGCCCAATGGCATATTATCAAGAGCAGAGTTACCCTAAGGTAATTTTGTGAACTTTACGTCCATCGATAAAAACATAGGTATCCAAATTGCACTGGACTATTTTTTCGATGTAAAGTTTAGTGAATTTATTTCCAATTCTCTTTGGTCTTTACAAAAACTTTTTCCCGGACAGAGTTCTCGAGATCATGGTGATAGGTCTACCATTTTGTGACAAAACGACGCCTATGGCATGTGAAAAGGCGTCCGTCAGGTCAAAGGGTTGTTCGTAGTCAGGGTGAAGGAGCAGTTCATCTTCTGATGCAAGAATTTTCTTAACTTTACCAAACGTGCTAAAGTTATTTCTATTTCCCATTTTCTCTTCGTGAGTATTTTGTTCGGGTGTTTGTAATCGCAGCATAGTCTTTTACGAACCGTCTGTAATAGCGAGCTAACCCCAAGAATGATCGTAAGACTCTCAAGGATTTGGTGACAGCGAAGTCTAAAATGTTCCTGGCTTTATCGAGGCATGCCTTGATACCGTCTTTAGATACTGTAAAGCACAGGAACTGGACACTTTCTTGAAAGAATTTTGACTTATCGACGGATACTCGCGGTCAGACTAATCCGATCCCGCCAACCTTTCAATGTTATGTCTATGCTTTCTGCATATTCGCGTGGCAGCAGGTGCAGTCGTCTCGCCAGAGTTCTGGATATCGACGACCTCGATTGCCCTGGGTCGATCAGGGCACGGACCGGGTGTCCTCGGCCACTTGCCACAACACTCACCATCACAGTTGGCGTCAGGACAGACATGCCCAATGCACTCCGAGCGGGTCCTTTGATTCGCTCGCGGGCGTCTCTCACCGCCCGAGGTCGCCTTTGTAATTTGTTGTTACGCCTGCTTGATGAGACACTTCTATCTTCCGATGGTGGGTGTGACCGCTGAACCACGAACCGTACACTCGACAGAGGCGGTCTGAGTAACGGGGGGTTTGGTGTGTTGGCCTGTTCATTTGGAGGTTGTTCCAGCACTTCATCGTCACTGGCGTCGATCTCCAGAACCTCGTCATTGCTAGAGTCATCTGGTAAGGCTTGGGCCCGGTAAGGACAGTGCCGTCTCTTACTCCGGTGATCTATCACGTCTCCGACCGGCGGCACGTCTACCTCGCTTCTATCTGTCCCCCACAGATGCAGGAGACTGTGGTGCCTCTCCTGACAGCGGTCGCAGTTCCTCCGGGATGAACAGTTGTTGGCCATGTGATTCGGAGACAAGCAGTTGGCGCAATGCCGATGGAGGAGGACAGCCCTCAGTCTCTCCGCAGGCTCCAGTCGACGCATCTGTCGGCAGAACAGCAACCGATGATTGTGGTTGCATACAGGGCACCGATGTTGTTCCTTAGGTTGTTGTTTGCTGTTGTTGTTGGCACGTACCATGTTGAAAATCTCTGGAATTATAGATATCATTAGTGTGAGGAAACTGCCACTTTATTCTCTTGTGCAGTTCCTTTAGATACTCAACCTTCCATCGCTGACAGAATCCTTAGTGAAGTGCTTTCAGTTTCTGCCATCGGTTGATAATTGTCATCGGGTTTCCGCTGATTTCGGGCTCAGCGATCGCAAGCAGCGGACTTCCAATTAGAAAATGTCCCGGGGTTAGAGGTTCAATTGACTCAGGATTATCGGGGAGTGGACTAATTGGACGAGAGTTGAGGCAGGCTTCGATTTTGGCAAGTAACGTCGAAAATTCCTCCATTGTAAAGCGCATTGCACTTGCTACTCTTCGAAAGTGCGTTTTGAAGCTCTTCACTACTGCCTCCCATAATCCTCCCATGTGAGGAGCCCATGGAGGTATGAAGTGCCAGTTGATTTGCTCGTGCGCATATGACCGCATGGTGAGTTGAGACGCTTCAGCCATGAATTTCCTGAAATCATGCTTCGACACCTTGTTGGCTCCAACGAAGTTCGTGCCATTGTCCGAATACATATGAAGCGGACAACCACGTCTTGCTACAAATCTCGTGAACGCAGCCAGATAAGTGGACGTCGATAAGTCGCTCGTCGCCTCCAGATGAATCGCCTTTGTAGCGAAACACACAAATACGCAGACGTATCCTTTCGTTATTAGACATGCTCGGCCTGTGTAGTTTTTAATGTCAAACGGGCCCGTGAATTCCACGCCAGTATTAGTAAAGGGTCTGGATACCTCCGTTCTTTCCGGTGGAAGCGCAGCCATTAATTGTTCTCGTGTCCTTTTCCTATGAATGAGACAAACTTTACAATTATTAATAACCATTTTTATTAAATTCTTTAACCGTACTACCCAATATTCTGACCTCATGAGTCTTAGCATGAGCTGATTTCCACCATGTAATGAAATCAGGTGTGAGAATTTGACAAGAAGTCGAGAAAATTGGCAATCATACGGTAAGATTGTCGGGTATCGTTCGTTGTATGATAGCGACGCTAGCGCTAGTCAAACGCCTACTCTCATGATCCCGTTCTTATCAAGAAATGGATTGAGAGTGCGAATGGAGCTCTTAGCGCTCACTGAGTTTGCTGACGCTAGTGCATCGTATTCATCCGCAAGAAAACGCTTTTGGGTCAATGGAATTAATCGCGTTTTTACATCTCGAATTTCATCTGCTGTAATTTCCGCAGATTCGTGCTGATTTAATAATTTAAATACCGGATGTATTTTCCGATAGAATTGGAAAACTCGCGCCACTACCCTCAACGCGCGTGAAAAGTCGGAGAACCGTTCCAAGATGTCTTCTCTGTCTATGATTCGTGCTTCGTGAGTCCTGACGCCTTTCTGCTCCGTGTGCAGTGGCTCACTCTGCCTCTGAGGCCACGCAGACGGTTGCTTCTTTAACCAGCTGGGCCTTTTTTCACTGTTTTCACTATTTTTTTTTTCAATTTAGCACATTTTGGCCTTACTTAATTTTTTGATTTTTTGGCTTTTTTTCACTATTTTCACTACTCGTTTGGCCTTACTTAATTTTTGATTTTTTGGCCTTTTTTCACTATTTTAACTGTTTTCACTACTTTTTTGGCCTTACTTAATTTTTGATTTTTTGGCCTTTTTTCACTATTTTCACTACTTTTTTGGCCTTACTTAATTTTTGATTTTTTGGCCTTTTTTCACTATTTTAACTATTTTTTTCCAATTTCGCAATTTTTGGCCTTACTTAATTTTTTGATTTTTTTTTTTGGGCTTTTTTTCTATTTTAACTGTTTTCACTACTTTTTTGGCCTCACTTAATTTTTGATTTTTGGCCTTTTTTCACTATTTTCACTACTTTTTTGGCCTTACTTAATTTTTAATTTTTTTTTTTGGCCTTTTTTTCTATTTTAACTATTTTCACTAATTTTCACTATTTTTTCCACCAATTTAGCAAATTTTGGCCTTACTTAATTTTTGACTTTTTGGCCTTTTTTTTCACTATTTTCACTACTCTTTTGGCCTTACTTATTTTTGATTTTTGGGCTTTTTTCATTATTTAACTATTTTCACTAATTTTCACTATTTTTTGGCCTTGCTTATTTTTTTTTGATTTTTCAACACTTATGGCTATGTATTTTGCAACTGGAATTTTTCAAAATTCTCGGTTGCTGGCAAAAAAATAATACTTGAGTCGCCTTACTGAATCCTTCGGTTGTCTCCTGGTGATAATTTGCTGCCCGCCAGTCGTCCAGGTGCCCCGATGCCTCCGGATTGCTGCGACCCTCACAAACTTTATGGTAATTGCGCTGCCGTCCAGCGCAAAAATTACGAAAAATTCGCAACCCGAATTTTCGTTAATTCGCAGTTGCTGTCCTAATATATTATTAAAATCACTTACCTTAACCTTCCTGCCGTTCACCTGTGGTAATCCTGCACCATTCCGTCCTTGTGGTGCTCCGATGCCTGCAGATCAAAAAAGGGTCCCACTTCTGCTCTTGATGACAGTCTAGTTTGAAAGGAAAGAAATTTGCCGGAAATAGTCGCTTCTGGCCTTGTTGGTTTCCACTGGATGCTCAGAGTTGTTTTTTGACTGTATAACAAAGTTACGCCAACCACTAAATATTTTGGCAAAGATTGCGCCACAAAAAAAAATTTTTTTTTTTTACATAAAGGAGCGACTTGGCAAAGGGAGTTTGCTACTCTTTTGTAAAATCGATATTTTAAAAATAGCTAATTCTGTACTTCCTGAACAGATCCGGCTCGAAGGACCATGTTTCATCTCGGGGTTAGTTGGGGTCGGAATTCCTCATGAATTCCGATAACGGGGCTCGGGGGAGGTGCCGGTCCTTCAGGAAGCTGTAATAAATCCCTAAGCTTTCTCCAAATAAAAGGCAATTATATTAAATAATTAATGTAAATATAATATATATATGAAAAAATATGTAGCACAAAGGAACACACTCACCAAAGATGTTACTGCTGTGGCTGTTGAAGAAAAAAGAGGCGGAAGACCGCTGGAACTGGTCTTTTAAATAATTCCACAGAAGGTGGAAATCGGAAACGGGGCTAACAGGACTCTTCCCATAACTTTGAAGAGTCATGTATTAACGAAAAACAGCAGCGCCATCTGTTGGTGAATGTTATGGCGGCTGCCCAGGGTTGCACGCATAAACAATTATATTTACTACAAATTAAAAAAAAATAATAATTTTTTACTGAAATATTTTTTATAAAATTATTTACTTGATTTTAAAATTTCACTTTTCTTAAAAAAAGTTTTTAATACAAAATATTTATAAAATTTCTTTGTGTTTTTTTTAAACTTAACCTATTCTTACTATTAAGCACCTCCTGGTGATGGGGTATTGATCCTCTTTGCTGTTGCGGCTACTAAGGTACCACCGGTCACACTGGATTAGAGGTGGGCGTTTTTTTCCTACAGGATCCTAACGCCTTTGTCCGAAAAATTTGTGTTCACGTTGCAGCTGCGTTTTAGCAGGTGATTATTTGTTAGTCCTTTGCTGTGCGTTTTTTAGGCTGTTTTTCTACAGGCTTTTTGTTTTCGCGACGCGTTGGCTGATTATTTGCCAAAAGACTTGAACGGATACAAAAACTTTCACGGTCCCTGCTCGTGCGCCAGTTAAAAATTTATATTTTCATTTAAATTTTTAAAAAAGCTCTGGCGGACTCTTGTCCGCTCATGCTAAACTTTATTTGAATCCAAACTTAAGATTAATTACAATAATTTGCTTAACTTAAAATTACACCTATTATTGGACACGCTCCCGTTGCACTTCCGTGTGCGCCTTATTTGTTGTTATTGCTAAATCGATGTTCTTGCTGACTGTTTTTTATTAGAAGTGGTTGATTGTTTGCTGACTGTTGTTTTGCCCAAATAATTATTGAAGTGTCAGCGTCTATGCGGATGCGCGTGTAAAAGAGTTTGCCATTGCAAAAGTCACCCTGGTGGAACTTTTGCAAGCCGTGGTGTTAACTTATTGTTCACATAGGTAACCAATCACCCGGCCAAAATATCACTTCAACGGAATCTGCTAACGGCGCGTCTACTGCTTTGCACGTAACACAAAAAAAATTTCAATACTGCTATAATAACCAATATTAACGCATCTGGCCATACTGCTGACTGAACCCTTATAGTCTTGGGCGTGACAACCAAATAGAAAACAATAAGTGGAATTGGTTCACGTGGCTAATAACGTGCAGCAACTAAAGTTAGGGCAAGCAATGTAGATATTTAGACGCTAGCGTCGTTCTTGTTTAGACCAGTTATATCATCTCCCCCCTGAGACCGGCTGCCCTTATTTATACAAGGGAAATAAAAAATATTCAAATGAACTTAATTGTTTTACTGGCGCCCAACGTGGATCCCAAACAAAGGACTAGTTGCAAAGGACACGCGTGTTTGGTCATGGATTCGGACCAGCCCCACAAAAAACAAGTGCCATCAAAGAAGTGCCACAACAAATAAGTTTAAGAGAATTTCTCTTCGAGCAAACGAAATTAATTAAAACATTAGTGCTACCATATGAATATTCATGTAAGGAGAAAGGTCAGCAGCTAAATACATTAATCAATAAAAGTGTTAAACCAATTTACTTTCCATTCTAAATTTTAAGAATAAAGATAGTATTTGAATCTAAGACCATGGTCTCCCAGACCCTATAAACCCTCCTAAATACCGCAAATATTGCGGCAACCGAACATTCTAGACAGAAATTTCCCACCCGTATGGACGAGCTTATAAATGGGTTAGCTAGACTTGAAATGTATTGTGTGACGAATCCCTAGACCTAGTAAAGACCATACCGGAATTCAAGGGTGAACCTATAACGGAGACAAGCGGCGCATAAAGTATTTGTATTCGAAGGATACCAAGGTGGTTCTAAGCACTACCAGGCAGTAAACATCATAAGAAAGATTTGGAAGGGGCAGCGGACAGTGTACTTTCATCTTTCATGGCTAGATTTCGCATACGCCGATAAAAGGCCCTTCCATCTAATAGAACAGGAGCAGTCTACCTTACTGCAAGGTAAACTATCAGTGATGGTGTTCTACGAGGAGGTCGAAAGTAAACTGAGCCTCAAAATAAACCAAACGATCATGACTCACGGTGGAAATGCCACCCTAATAGAGTCACTCAATAGTAAATACCGCGAAGACGCTCTCCGCGTTTTATCTTGGGACTCAATCGTCCTTTTTGTGGCATACTGTTTTCTTCCAGTCCTAATTGCATTTCCTTCGCTTTAGCTTCAGCACAAGAGCTGGAATCAAATCAAGCTAGGTCCATGTTTGCCCAGCAACGATGGGCTCAGCCCAAACGGCCGTACCAACGGATGTAGACCCATCACTCTCAAGGATCAGTCAAAATAGATCCCAACTAATAAATGGTAATGATGAGAGGTTCCATCAAGGAGCCCATTTATTGGCTCCTCGTCCAAATATTGGCAACCCAGGGAAAGACCAAAGTAAAAAACACACAGGGGTGGCAAGCTGGCATTACAAAAGGTTCAAAGGATAAACAGCCTTACCCAGGAACAGGACAAGTCTGAGGGAGAATTATGGAATAACGCTAATTATGATAATTACTACTAGAGCGAGGGTTATGCAGAATGTAATCCAGTGGAATACCAGGACAAAACAAATGACGATGCGAATGTTTTAGGACAAAATCCCTCTTGCCCTATATCGAGCGAACAATCGGGGGAAGACGCATAAAATTCCTTAGTGACACTGGTGCTGCGAAGAGCTACATAAAACAGCTCGAGGACCTAAAGGGAATCAAACCCACAACATATGTTGTACGATTAACATTTTTAATAAAAATACTAAATTTCTTATTTTACCCAGCTTAGATACCTTCGACGGTCTCATAGGTTTTGACCTATTAACGGGAGTGAACGGTGCAATAGATTGTAAAAACGGAATACTTACTTTTGACGGTGGACAGGAAAAGTTCTTTTACCACTCTTGCCGGGATGTTAATAAATTTAAAAAAACAATCATGAGCGGGTTGGACATTCCTGCATTGTTGCAACGACACGCTTAAGTTTTCGCGGACCCCAACGAAGCTCTACCCTATAATACCAAGATTATAGGAACTATAAGGACCACCGATGATCTTTCAGTTTACTCAAGCAGCTATCCATACCCAACAGATTCAGCCGAGTTTGTCAATAGGGAGATTTCGAATCTCTTGCGTTACGGTATAATAAGACCATACCGTTCTCCTTATAATAATCCAATTTGGGTTGTGAGTAAATAGGGCATCGACGGGGACGGTAATAGGAAATCCAGACTCTTGATAGACTTTAGGAAACTGAACAGCAAAACAGCTAGTGACAAGTATCCAATTCCGGGCACTTCCGTAATCTTGGCTAACATTGGAAATGCCAGGGTTTTCTCAACAATAGACCTCAAGTCTGACGTCCACCAAATTAAGCTACCTGAAACTGATCAATAACGGCAAATACTAGTCTCGTAGGTTCCTCTT